TTGTGAAACCTTAGAAAAATCCCCTTCGGTCATAGGACCCAGCACAATCTTCTGCCCTCCTTTTTCAAACATGTAAACATTATCTCTGCCTTTATGAGTAGCGTTGACGTCAAACTGCCATGGTCTGCCCAGAATCAAGTGACAAGCATCCATATCAACAACATCGCACAACGCCTCATCAATATACTTGTTACCAACAGAAAAGGAAACCCGACAGATATCTGTAACCTAGGGGTGAACAAATAATCCGTCAATTCGTCAATCCGGTCTGAACCAATCCGATCCGTGTGGTTCGGTTCGGTTTTCAGATTTTATGGTTCGGTGATGGTTTGAAAAATCTGTAATCCGGTATCCGTGATTCGGTTAACGAATTGGCCTTGAAAAATCAGATCTGAACCGTTAACCGATCCGAACCGAACCGTTGCCAATCCAAACCGTTAGACAAACCGAGCCGAACCGTTACTGAATAATATATTAATATTATATATATATATACACACACACAATATAATGGTATGTTGTATTTTTTTTTTCTCTTTATTCATTATTCTTTTTAACTTAACCTAACCCTAACTCCGCCTCTTCATTACGATATTTCTCCAATCTCATTTCAACCGCGCTTCTCCCTCATTAACTTAGCCTCTTCTTTTCACCCTCTTTGCCTTCGATTTTCTCTTCTCGCCTTTGTGAGTCTGTGACACTCTTCGCCTCTCCCAATCTCTCGTCTCTCAATCAAACACCCCTCAACCATCGTTCACCAGATTCGAAGCAACAACGACCTCTTCGACTGGATCTACCTCTTTTTCGGTGAGTTCACAAGATTTTTGAATGGATCTTCTTATTCTCATCTTCTCTGAAATCTTACAAATCTCCATCACTCATCATAAGGTACACAATCTCTCTATACTTTCTCTCTCCATCACTCATCCCTTCCTAGGCCCCAATCTCTCTCTACTTTCTCTCTCTCTTCAAAATTCCAGCTTAAGAATCTCAAACCTTACGACTAGAAATTACCAAAAGCAGAGGAAAGGGTTTTGCAGATAAAAAAATGAAGACTCTCTGATACATATTTTATGTATTTTTCTTGTTTCTCCATAATCTTCTGAGTTGATAAAGGTTTGGATTTTTTGCTTATTTATTTTTTCAATATTGTAATTTGTTGTAATCTGATCTGAATTCTATGATTCAAATAAATGAGCTTTCATTGTGTATCTGTTGTATATGTATATCTGTCGTAATTTGCAGTGGATAGGAGGGGCAAAATGGAAAGAATGTTTGGGATTTGTTTCTGAACTGAAATGTGATGCGATGACCATTCATTTGGCTTTTGTAGTTGAATGCTTAGATCTGATTTACTTCTATTGAATGTTCGAATTAGTGTGTATAACCAATTTCTATGTTTTTTTGTGTTTTGTTCTTTGTTGTTCTTGTTCGCTTCATGATGCATTGTGTGACTGTTTTTTATAAGCCCAATCTGTGAAACCGAACCGAACCAATCCGTTATTCCACGGATCGGTTTGGTTCGAATTGAGAGCTACCACGGATCGGTTCGGTTTCAAATTTAACCAATCCGTGAGGACCGGATTGGTTTGAATTTTACCCCAAACCGAACTGATCCGAACCGTGATCAGCCCTACTGTAACCCTTGTTTCTACCCCTTTTTTAATCCAACCAATTTTGTAGGGACTCGGATGCTTCTCTGTTTTCAGCCCTAACTTCTGGACCATCACCTTTGACACAATATTCTCGCTGCTGCCACTATCAATAATAACATCACAGACTTTCTTATTGACAGTACATCGTGTCCGGAATATATTGTGCCTCTGTGGATGCTCTTCCGTTTTCGGGGCAAGTAACAGCCTTCGCACAACTAGAGAATGGGAAAGTAGATCCCCCTCATCTTCTCCGATCACCTCTTCCTCATCGTATAAAGGAAACCCTTCGTCTTCTTCTCTATCTTGATCCTCCTCACCCCCAAGTTTTATTAGGTTGACTAAGCGCCTTTGGGGACATTCATTAGATCGATGTCTTGGTTGCCCACATCGATAACACTTAATAGGGTTTGGCCGACTGTAGGGATTATTTTTGGATGCATTCGGACTTGCTATGGGAGCTGTTCCGATCTTCTTTGGCTAAGTACTAGTGCTAGCCAAATCAGGTACTGCCGGAATGGAAGGTTGAGAATACATGGGTTGTTTTGCTTTGTTCGTCATTGAACGCATCGAATCAAAGTAATTCCTGGAGCCAGTCGGTGTTTTTGATTTCTCCAAAAAGGCCTCTGCCCTGGTTGCTGCATTCGTGGCTTCTGGTAAAGTGTAAATTATCTGTGTTGATACCCTATCATTAATGGCATATCGCAAACCATTTAGATAACAAGCAACTCGCTGCATCTCAGTTTCCCTTAGGTCGTTCCGAGACGTCAACTGATTAAATTCCTCTGTATAGGCCTAAACCGTTCGACTTCCCTGTTTGCAATCCTGATACTTCTGGAATAGAGTCTGCTCATAATCTGGTGGCAGGAATCTTCCCCTTATTAGACGCTGCATCTTCTGCCAGGAGCGTACTGGTGTTTTCCCTTGCCGTGCGTAAGCAACCTGAAGTTGTTCCCACCACGCAAAAGCTCCTCTCTTGAGTCTATATGCCACTAGCTCCACCTTCTTATCTTATTGGATATGCATATAATCAAAGAATCTCTCAACTTCTGCTAACCAATCTAAGATATCTTCAATATTAAGATTATTGTTAAAACTGGGGAGATCCATCTTCATACGAAACTCCCTAGAATCACGATTTCTTTGATCCCGATATCTTCTAGCCCCTCTATTCTCCCCAAGCACCTCTTCAACGTAGTCATCATCACTAAAGTCTTCCTCATAGGCTGGCTGCCTACGCGGTAGGATGGGGTTGCGATTCCAAAAAGGATGAGCGTGATCTTCGTCAACGTTTCACCCCCTGTTGTAATCACGATTTTGATTTGGACCCAACACGAGCCTAGCAAGGGTTGCTTGAATTTCTTGCAATGCCTGTTGGGTTGTCTGTCGACAGTCCTGGAATTCGGCTCTTAAAAGAGCCTCTCTCTGTCGATCTTCGTCGGCAGCGAGGTTGCCATCACCACGTTCATCTGCCATCAGACCGAGAAAAGACAAGTCTCTGATACCAACTGATGTAAGCGGAAGCGATAAATTTGTTTACGAGGAACAGGTTACCTTGAATCCACAAGATGGGTGTTTTGAATCCGCAAAACGAAAAGGAGAATTCAGAGAAAATTTGATATATTATTTAATAATTGAATAAATGATGCAGTATATGTATTTATAACTAAAAACCCTAACAGAATAAAGAAAATCCTAAAACGTAAAGAAACTATCATAAAGGAAATCCTAAAACGTAAGAAAACTAATAGCGCAAGGAAACTGCTCAAAAACAAACTTGCTCTGAAAATTTTTAAAAAATAAGGAAAGAAACCTAATTACTAAAAACTACTAAATACCAAACAAGAAAGCAAATCGAATCCGTTTAGTCTTCTAACGAAAATCCCGAAATATTCAAATATGAGAAAACGCCATTTACGAGCCCTAAACGATTCAATTTGGCCAAAAGACGCCCTACCTCGGCAGCAAAGCTGCCGATATATGCGAGTTGGGTCGTTTCTGATAAATCTGGGCTCTTTTCTGGTTCACTTCGGGGTCAGTCCAGAAAATCCGTTAGTATGCCCGTTTGGCCCCCTGGCGGTCCAAACGGGCCATAAAGGCTTCAGCAATTAGTTCTACATCAGTAGACAACTTATACTCACCACGTATGTGGGGCAATGTTAAACTGACAAGTGTTTTTATAGTTAAAATAATTAAAAATAAATAATTTGATAGCTATTGGGTTAAACCGAAATGGATCCGAATCAAATTTTAATTCTCTCTCCTCTCCCTCTTTCTCACGCTTCTATCATGTGGAAGCCCAAATCTCATCCGTTCTATTCCTCTCCCCTTCTATCTCGCTCATATTTTTACAGAGTTGGAGGATATGCAAAATCTGCAAATTGAAGTCCGGTAAACAACAGTGGAATAACAAGAGATTGAATGATACCATCATCAAAAAATCGAATACGATACGCAATCAAGAGAAGATTATATTTATTTACAGAATTGTATACCCAACCATTAACATATTCAGCCTTTCCATCCAAGTGGTAATATACATCATCCTCGTTGTCCTTTTTGACGAGCTGCCACTTCTCAATTGAATTCGTACTCCCAACTCTATAACAATATAATTGAGTTTTATGATCAGGTGGACTTTGTTTTGTATCTTCTACTGAAATGAGAATACAGTCCTTAATGACCGTGTAACCGAGGACAGTCATGGGTAATTCTTACTCCCAACCCTGAAACTGATAAGGTATTAAAGAAGAATCCTACTCTTGATCATCATCATGATTAATAGTAGTATGAGCGCGAGAGAGAGAAGGGGAGAGGAACATAACGGATGAGATTAGGACTTCCATGTAATAAAAGCGTGAGAAAGAGGGAGAGGACAGAAAATTAGAAATTGATTCGGATCTATTTGGGTTTAACCTAATAACTATCAAATTATTATTTTTTTAATTATTTTAAATAAAAGAAGACATGTCAGTTTAGTATTGCGTCACATACGGAATGAGAATAAGTTTTTTATTCACCGATGGATAGGTAGGCAAGTATTGTCCGTGTAATAATCTCATATATATGGATGTCGAGTGTGAGTAAGCAAGTATTCTCCGTGTAATAATCTCTCTCTCTCTCTCACACACACACACACAAATATATATATTGGTGCCATGTGTTTAGTATATATTCAAATATTGTTACTATTATTAGTATTTAGTAAAGGTTTGGTCGGCCCAATGGATGCCAAGTGTGTTTTGCCTAGAATCTGTACGCAACAACATACATAGAGAGCACTTAACAATATCTTCTAAGGCACCAAAGTACAGCAAAGACGTGTTCACTCTATTTGCCCATCACCATTCTCACATCCTATCCACATCTCATAATAAGACTCTCTCAGACACACACACACCTCACACACTCTCTGATCTCTCTCACTCCCCTCTTAGCAAACAAGAAGATAAATTCTAGAAAAATTCTAGCTTTTTCTTCTTCTTGTCAACAAAATCAATAACCACAGGCCATGGCTCAAACCATGTTGCTCGCATCTACTCCCTCTGGTCACGCCGTTGTTGACTTGAAGAGACAACCATTGCTCCAAAGACTAAGGCCCAGGCCATTCTCTCATTTCTTACTACCCAATCTTCCAACTGCAACAACTACTAGTACTTCATTTCATGCAGCGAAAACTGTTGCTCTCTTCAAATCAAAGGCCAAAGCTCCTCTCAAGAAGGTCTAAATTTCTCTTTTTTCTATTCTTCAAATTCAATATATATATATATATATATATATATATATATTTAGTTCTCTGTATTTGTATTGATTGTTTACACACTGCTTCTTCTTATGTTTTTGCTTTGAATTTGATTTTGGGTACATACTAGGCACCAGTACCGCCTCCTAAGCGGAAGGTTGAAGATGGTATATTTGGGACCTCTGGAGGGATTGGTTTCACCAAGGCAAATGAGCTCTTTGTTGGTCGTGTAGCCATGATTGGCTTTGCTGTGAGTTACTAATTTGTTTCTATCCCTTCCAGATTTAGTACAATTTTCTCTATCTCAATACATGCTTTCAATTTTTATTTCTCAAACTTTACTGAACTAAAAAATGTAGTGGCATAGTGGTACATATATGCTTGCTTGAAATTTAATCGAAGTAGTTTTACCTAAAAATAATAATAATATTAATACTAAAAAAAGAAAAAGGAAAAAAAAAAAAAAAAAGAAAAAGAAAAAAAGAAATTAGCGAAAGTGCTAGACCTAAAAGTGGGACCCATGTGGTCCCAACACATTGGCTATTTTGTCGCATTGAGAGTTATGATGTATAAGGAATTAGTGAAGTACCACATAACTGTTCTCTAGCGCCACTTCCACCATTATTTTTAGGGTAAATTATACTCACATAACTCACTTATCTTGAGGTTTGAATGAATTACCTATGGCTGCATCAGTGAGATTTAGCACCGGTGTTCAATGATACTCTTTTAACATTTTCTTTCTGGCAGGCCTGTTGACCGACCAAATTTATTCTTTCTGGTAAACATGTTCACCAAATTTATAAAATGACAATTTTACCATTCCATACAATATAATATATTATTATAATATAAGGGTATTACTGATTTTTCATATTCAATGTCACTTATCGGCCTCCAATGAATGCGTTTATAGGGAACCGTCAAAATAATAAAATGCTCAATAGCCTACCCCGTGTAATTTACTCAAACTTCATGAAAGGTTTATACATATAAGAGAGATGTTTGAGTTTTTTTGTTTTTTGTTTTCTTTGTCATGACAAGTAATACATTTACACTAGCTTTGTTCCTTTTGGACTTGAACCCTAAACTGTCTACTTTGAAATGTGAGAAATTACCATTAGATTTCAAAGGCTTTGATGATGTTTGAGTCATTTAATCATCTTCTGACTTCTGTTTTACTTGAGTCTATCTGAAAAAAAAGAAAAAGAAATCATCTTCTGACTTCTGTTTTACTTGAGACTATTGTTTGTTAGAACCATACTCGCCTCCTTATACGCCACTATGAAGGAACCTCCTCCATACTGCGAACGCGACATAATATGATTATATCACATCGTGCCATTTGGTAGTAGTGTGACCCACTGCAAAGTAGATTTTTTATTTTTTTTAATATTATAAAAAGACGCCTAATCCAATTATATCATAACATATAAGGAGGAGATTCCTCCTCACGAGTGAGTGAGGGGGAAAGTATTGTTGTTTTGGTTATATTCAATATTCATGAGCATTGGATGAAAATGACAGTAATGCAGGTAAAAAATTGGTCATATATTAATGTTAAATTCTCTGTAAAGAAAGTTGATGTATTGAAATATATATTGTTAATTGTAGCTTTGAGTACAAATTTTGCAGGCATCCATATTGGGAGAAGCAATAACAGGAAAGGGAATTCTAGCGCAATTGAATCTAGAAACTGGAATTCCAATTTATGAAGCTGAGCCTCTTCTTCTCTTCTTTATCCTCTTTACACTGCTTGGAGCCATAGGAGCATTGGGCGATCGAGGCAGTTTCGTCGATGAACCTGCTACCGGACTTGAAAAGGCTGTCGTCCCTCCAGGCAGAGGATTCAGATCAGCACTCGGTTTGAGCGAAGAAGGTAAACTACACTTCCATTAATATTTCAATTTTTATTTATTTATTTATTTTCCTTTTAAGCAAAATGAAAATTGTACTGTGAATATGCTCACCTTATTGGAAATTAGGATCCTGTTAAATACCCCATTTTCCTGCTTCATAAGAGGTTGGTCCGTGTTTTTTTTTTTTTTTCTTTTTTTTAAATGTAAACAAGCAACTTGAACAAAATTTCAAAATCTTTAAGTAAATGAGTAAAGCTCGAGCAATACTTAATTAGTTTCGTGCTCGCAACAATGATTGTTTCTTTTCTTATCAAATCTTGATAAACCTTGAGTCTGGAGTCTGGACTTGAGCTTTTGCAAGTAGTGCCCTGTCTAAGGAATGTTTGACAAATGACATATGCGTTCTAAGAAGTCTGTATCTGTGTACGTGTTTAGTTGGATAAGCGCTTATTCTGATTTTCTTTCGATATGGTCTTACATTTTAGGTCCGCTTTTCGGATTCACAAAGGCAAATGAGCTCTTCGTGGGGCGATTGGCTCAGTTGGGTATTGCTTTCTCTTTAATTGGAGAAATTATCACAGGAAAAGGAGCTCTGGCGCAATTGAACATTGAAACTGGACTACCAGTGACCGAAATTGAACCCCTTGTTTTGTTCAATGTCGCCTTTTTCTTCTTCGCGGCATTGAATCCAGGGACCGGTAAGTTTGTGACAGATGAAGATGAAAAATGAATGCTGGTTAGGTTTTGTGCTTGTAAGTCATAATAATCTTAATTTGTAGTTTTATTTATGCAAGAATTGGTAATTATGTCCAAAATACTCACTTGTGTATAAGTGTTTTTTTGGTTCCATAAACACCTCCCTTTCTCTATCTCAATATATATTGTTGTTGCATTTTATTCATTAGCTCAAGTTTTTGAGGTTTGATTGTCGACATGGTTTCGTAGAACAGGAAGTTCAAGTATTCGAACTCTGTTATCTCCCTTAAAATATATAATTTGCAGTTTGTGATCCGTTAATATCAAATTTGAGAGCCATATTTTGGAGACATTTTCGAGATGTTGCTAATAACTAACCAAGGCAAAGAAAAAACAGTATATAATACTAGGGGGTTACAAAAAGGTAAATTGAGACTATTTACCCAAACACTCGCGGGTAGGCGTTTATTCAATTACTAAAAAATTTGAGTTATTGAGTAGTTCTGCATACCCACCTATTTAATACACAGTTCAACTCCTATGTAAATCAGATGTGGAACAAATATTCCTTTGTTACGTCAAGGTACCACTCGTAAATACCATGTGGTATTGTATACTTTATCCATAAGTTTTTCACATTTAACAAATGGATTGAGACAATTTTTTTGTGTGTGAAAAATCAAATGAATCATTCGGTACAATTTTCAATCAATTGATTAAATATAGAGAGCTCACGTCATGGTATAACTATCTTAAAAACATTATTGGAATACAATTAGCATTGAGGCAAACAATACAAAAGTTCTGGTTAGAACAAAGCCTGAAATGATGATAGAAAATTAGAGTTTATGCATGTGATGTGAAAAAGAAAAAAAATGCTACCTTCGGGTAGAAATTTTCTTGAACAATAATAAGTTAAAATTTTTGAACCCAAATAAAAAATAATAAATTAAAATATTGATTTATAATATTTTTATTCAATATATTTATAGTTGTCCTCCATAAGTTTTCATCTCTTGAAAGCATTGCAATGATATTAATGCTTATAAATGTTTTTTTTCCAAACAATCTATTATTAATGTTAACAAATCCTACTATTTTTTTTGTTTCTTTTTTCCAAAAATAAAAATCTTATTTAGCATATGAGTTTCAGAGCTTAGGGCCGAGAAATCAAATGATTTATATACATAATTCTTCCACTTCTTGATTTTGTTGGGGAGAGATTGAGAATGTCAAATAGAGAAATTGATGGCCAAAAGTTCACACAATTGTAAAATAATATATATATATATATATATAAATAACCAAAAGTAAAATAATATATATAAAAATTAAAAGAACCAAAAGTTCAGAGGCAATTGATCCTACTCACTCGATGTGCCTACACGCCACTGGCTTTTGGCAATTATTCGCATATTTTGGGTGGAATTTTTATTTTTATTTTTATTGATTTATTTATTTATTTTGCCAGTGTGCCGAGAGTTCAACATGGCATGTCAATCATAACCGTTAAAATAAATTAACATTATATATACTTGAATTCTTAACGGTTATGATTGATTTGCTACATAGATTTTTTGATTTTGTGGACTTCAATTGCTTCTCTACTTTTGGGTTGGGCCAATGAGTTTCTTTGTAAATGCATCAATGGGTTAAGATTTCCCTTAAAATTGTTTCCTTTTGGTCTGTACAAATTTATTTCACATGTGCTGCGATCATCACATTTACCCTTCTTCTTTTTCTTTTTTTTTTCTTTTTTTTCTTTTTTTGAAAAAAAAAAACACAAGTCTATCAATGAAAAAGTTACTAACATATAGTATTTTATCATGTATAGTTTTCAGATTTGACAAGTATCCAACTCTTCCCACTAAACCTACCTCTACCCCTCAAAATATATCCAAACACATTTTATAGGAGTTGGATGCAACGACTAAAATTGTCGTCTCCGCGTTGGTTTGATGTTTTCTATCCTGAGTTATGTAGCAGATGTCTTGATAGTCTAGTGGTTAGTGTTTTCGGTAAATTTTAGAAGTGACAGAAAAATAAATCCTGAGTTATGTATATTTATTTATGCATTATAAATATATAAAAATAATAAAGTTTTAATTTCCTAGAATTATGTTTTGTGTTTAATGTTTAGAACAAATATTGTAGTACATTTTATTTGTGATTAATGTTTTATACGAATAAATTATTGTTTACATGTGGTATCAAAACATGTTTTAGGAATTTATTATATTTTAGTACCGCTGCATAAATAATATATATAGATGTAGAGTAAAATTAAAATAATTGTACAAATTTTTTCTTGGAATCGACGTATTTATAGACACACACGGTATGTGTTTTGGATCAATCCCATGGGATTGTTCGGGAAGTATTGTAAATATGGGTATAACTGTCGATTTCATGCTTTGGGTAAGTGTGTGTGATACTTCATGAACAAATATAGACAAATAAGATGCATGCATGGATTACGATATCGGTTGCGGTCGCGGTATAACAGATTTGGATAAAGTCAGAATAAATTGACTGGTACGAATCGCGTATCGAACGATACTGCGAACCATGCATGTGTTTCTTGAACCTTGTGCATGATTTGAATAACATATGGAATTGAAAAGCTTTCAATAGCCTTTTGTTCGTTATTGTTTGAAGAAACCCATTGTTATATCGGTTATTGTCTAATTTCAAGATTCTACTTTTAATCCTCTAGAAATCAATAAATTATTAAATGTATTTATTTATTTTATTAGAAAGCTGAATTTCTAAAATGATATATGAGTTTTGAAATTTAATTTTAATGGACATGCAAATAGAGTATTGTATTTTTACACCCGTACATACATACATGATAGAGAATCAATTTTAGATTGATTCGATTATGAATTCTCAAATAAAAATATATTTTTTCATTGAATTTTTGGGTTGTTAAGTTTCCGGGATCGAAGTCATTGTTATTTCGATTGATCAACCTAGAGGTTATCTTCGATCGGGCTTTTCAGACTCTCTTTGATCAATCGGACTCACTTAAACTTCAATCGATTATTATAAATATGTATGTATAATACTGAATTGTGTTATTTAATGATAAATTAGTCACTAGTTAATTTCACCACCACAACCATACCCAAACCATACCACAACAACCACCACTAGAGTAGAAAAAAAAATTAAAAACAGCCACGGCCAACCCAGACCCACCACAATAGCAAAAAAAAAAAAAAAAAAAAAAAAGAAAGAAAAAGAAGCCATGTCCCAAAAAAAGACGAAGAAGGGAATTAAAAATTAGGGTCAAGAGACAAAGGCTTCATGATAATGATAGTTTTGTCAATTAACATGACTGATAATTTATAAAATTTTAAAATTAAATAATTAAGGATAAATATGACATTTAAAATTAGAGGGATGTAATTGTTAAAAAAATTGATAACCCTCGTCCGAGTGACATTGACCAACTCCTTTTTTATTTTTTATTTATTTATTTTTAAGGTGATCCATGCTATGAAAGCCTGGCCTACAGCATGAAAGCCTCGCCCATATGCAGCTCAAGGGTTTGTGTCCATGAGACTCTATGTATGTTTGTATATGGTGTTAATATATCTGTGTGTATGACAAGAGAATGGGAACACCTAAAAGTTGATCAGAAAAGTCAGAAAATGAGTACCCAGGACAAGATCAGAGATTCCACATCCTCTGCACCTGATTGGTCCGTTTGAAAGCACACAGATTCCCTATGTATTCACCCACCACTGTTGATTAAATCTCAATCCAACCACTGCAAAATATCACACCCCCATCAAAAACCAAATGCAAAGTACCACCATCAAAACCACCGTATATAATTGACGCACCAAGCACCTGATCCCCTGACTCTTCTCAAGGTTTCCTGTATTTCTTTCTGCTGATTGTTTCTCGAGAAAGTGTTTTCTTTTCCATTTTCCTCTCTTTTCGTTTTGAATTTCATAAAATGAAGAACGGTAAAAAGGCCAAGAAAGGTATTGGAGGGAGGAAAGGAGGTGGTCCGAAGAAGAAGCTGGTGTCACTCTCCGTTAAATCCGGTGGTCTGCCGTTTCCGGTCGGAAGGATCGGCCGCTATTCTCAGCTTGTCGGAACCGGCGGTACAGTATATCTCGCCGCTGAGGAACGAGGTAACATTTGCTTTCCACTTCTCTCTTTCTATATATACCCACGTGTTTGCACCTGACTCAGCCAGACTCGGACGACTCACCAAAAGACTCAGCCATATTTTTATTAGGGTTAATTACACTCACACCCCATGAGGTTTATTTTATTGACACTCAGATGAAAGTTGATTCCTTTTTAAACAATAATCACCCCTCAGGTTTGATATATTTATGTCTAATTCTCTCTGAATATGGGATATATATATATATATATATATATATATATATATTGTCTATGGAATTTATTTTTGTATATTGTATGTGGATTTGGACTTGATTAAGTTGGGATTTCGTGATGGATGTATATGGGTGGCGGCGACAACTGTGGAGTGGTGGCGGCGGCGTCTGTGATACGAAGGTAAGGGTCAGGGTGGTTTGGTCCAATAAAATGAGTAGTAAAGGTTAAAAATGTAATTCCAATATCAAAATAAGTTAATTATCAAGTCAAGGGGCAATAATGTTAATTCACTATGTATTAGATGTGGGAAGGGGCAATAATGTTAATTCACTATGTATTAGATGTGGGAGGGATGTCTTTGTCAACTTTATCAAACCTGAGGGGTGTATATATAAACAACAAATTATACCAAGTTAGAGGTCTCTGAAATTTTGGTGGAATTGGATGCGTGTGTTTTTTTGTATATGTAGATTAGCAATTGGTGATGGTGGTGGCAGTGTGTTGTGGGAGTTTGTTTGGGTTTGACGGCATGGTTGAGTATAAATTATTTGAGTTTTTGTGTGGTGGTGGAAATGGAGAAGGGTGGTGGCGATTGACTATGCCCGGGAATAACGTCGACTGCGAATCACACTGCTTACGCTGCAACAATATTGTGACGACGCCCGTAAAGAAGATGACGATGTGGGCTGGTGGTTGCGTTCTGGGTTTGTTGGACAGAAGATGAAGGTACATACGTGGTGCAACCCCACACGCATTAACGGTGAGTGGGGGTGCGTGATGCCCCTTCCGACAAAGGTTGGGGCCAGAAAAAGGGTGATCCAACCCAACAGTTCCATCCCCTTCCCTTAGATGACAACGACGTTCTGAAACCTCTGGCGCCGAAATTCAACTCAATCTGAATTGAGTGATCTGGCTCACATCATACACGTTTGTTGCTCGTCTTCAACACAGACAAGAACGACGATTTGTTACGATTAAGGCGGCGGTTTCACAAGGTGGCCATGGCGGGAGGAAGTGGCAGTGGCCATTGTGGTGAAGGCGTATAGGAGTTTTAAGAAGTGGCTTTAGTAGTGGTGGCCGAGTTTTGGGAGGCGGTAGTGGTAGGTGAGGGTGAGGACTTGTTAGGCTGCAATTTAATACCGCTGAGGGGTATTTTGGTCATTTAAATACCCTGATATTTTAGATTAAGAATTATTATTTTATTGAAGGGCAATAGTGTCATTTTACATCCTTTTAAGGGTTGTTTGGCTGCAATTTCTGATAGGGGATGTTAGTGTTCAAAAAGAGGCTAACTTTCATCTGACTGTCAATAGTGTAAACCTCAGGGAGTGTGAGTGTAATTAACCCTTTTTATTATTGGTAGTATTTTACTTTTTTATATTTTTTTTCAATTTTTTTCCCTGACCCATTAGTATATAAATTGCATGACTTTTGTTTTCTTCTAAATATATAAAGTAGCTCATTAATACACTATATTATTTCTTGCAAAATAATGGTTTGTTGAAAACATAAATTTGATTGAGTCTCTTACCAAACAGTCCTATTGAGTACATAGACTCATAGATAAAAAAATAATAATAAAAAAACCTAATAAAATACTGATATGGAGTTCTTTGCCCATTTATGTGGAAGATCTTGAGACCCAAAAACAATGTGCAGAAAATTATGATTGAATAATTGTTTTAATTTGATAAACAAATAGTTGAAGAGGTCAACCGAAGTGTGTGAGCATCTTTTGAATTTTTGGTTTTGAAGATTGTTTCATGTTATTTATGATTATTTATTTGTGAATTTTAAAATAAAATTGATCTGAGAATTGCTTTCATGCAGGTTGTGGGAGAAAACTAAATGGTATGAGTAGTTCCGGAAGATGCAAGTATATAATTTATTTGTTTAATTTTTAATTAGATTAATTAAATTTAGTTTTTAATTAGAATTGATTGTGCAGATTTTTATTTGGAACATCATCACAAAACACATACTCCGTATTAAATTTATGGGAACTTGCATTTCGTTTGAAGAGCGAATACATCTATTGGTCATACTAGCTAAGAATTGAGTTGTTGTGCCATCTCGAGTCCGTCCATCTCCATTATATTTCTTTAAAAAAAAAAAAAAAAAAAAAAAAAAAAAAAAAAAAAAACAAACAAACAGCACATATATGTGTATATATATATATATCCCTCATTTCTACTTAGTCGAGTCCGATCAAATTGTTATTATGAATTGTTTCCTGACCTATTTGACCATTTTACCTGTCCTTTCTATTGAAATTATAAAGTAGCTAGTCCAATCAAATTGCTACATTGTAAAAATACTCATTAATTAATTTAATTAATTTTTTTTTTTGGCAAAACAACCCAAAGGAGGAGGAAATACAAACAACACAAACACACCCGCCCCAAACACAACAAAACAGAACTAAGAAACACAACTGATGGTATCCACTCGAGCACCCAAAGCATCTAGCCGAGCAAGATCAACGCGAGGCGGAATATGATCCAACACCCGATCAATATCCAAAACAGCTCCAGATAATACAGCAAGTTCATGAGTTACCCAATTTCCGGAATAAACCGCGAAGAGGTCACAGAGAAGGTCTGAAGCTCCATCTGAATATCAAAACAAAGTGATGCAATCACCGTGGGACAACCTGAAGCATCTGCCATTGCATCAACAACCTTAGCATCCCATTCGAAACTTAAACACCGAAAGCCCAAAGAAGAGGCCCAAAATAAAGCACGTTGGCAAGCGATCGCTTCAGCCACCATCGCTGATGAAGCATAGAAGGGTCGAAACACAGCAGCATGAAGAGATCATAGTGTTTAACAAAGAGTGTGTGGGTTTGAAACTAACAACAACTACAATTATTTTTTCAAAAAAAAAAAAAAAAGTATAATAACATTATTATATATATATATATATATATATATATATATATTGTTTGTGTGGTTGCATAATTGGAAACTTAGTCGAATTCCCTGTGGCATGCCATTTTTAAGGGAATGGGTGGATCTGAAAATGCCCCAGTGGAGAGTTGATCAATGAAAAACTTGTTAGCTGCATCAGTAAAATGAAATCCATCCCAGTATACTCTAACTGAGGGGTCTTTGCATGAGCCCCCAAATATTTGGCTTCCATTAACAGTTGCAGTACGTCCACACCCCACAACCCCAAAGTTATACTTTCCGCCATACCCACAGCAAGATACAAGAGGAAGTTCAAATCCTGCAATATACCACAAAGAAATTAATGTACGTGCCCATACATATAATTACTCTATGTCCATTTTGAAAAGTACTTCTTTCGTTCCAAAATACGTGTTTACGTTGGTTTCTGTGACTCACGTTGGTATATGTGAGTTATAGATGCTAATGTAGATACTTATTTTGGAATGAAGGGAGTATAAGTTATTAAGGAGACAGACAATTAATGCATTATCCCATTTAAAATTATTAAGTTAGAATATATATAATCAAATTTAAATTTTTTAAAACTTTAAGGATATTAAGAAAAGATGTGAAATATTGCGGGACTAGTATTTTGGCACAGTCCAAAATAAAAAGATGACACATATTTTGAGTGGGAAAGGGAGAGTAATGCAAAGAGCCCCATAGAGTGTCCTATATTTGACGCATCTGACTAATAGAAATGATACGATCATGAGAGCTAACATCAAAACCTTACTCAAGTAAAACAATGAAATAAGTTCGATTTTCCTACACTATATCATTTTCTTAATGCAAATTTATGACCGACATATATATATATATATATATATGTACAAACATGTTTGCAATTCTAGCATTGATGTATTACAGAATAATGTAATGTAATATCATACTGGCTATTTTGACATACCATATTTTTGTGCTTCAGAGATTAGACGGTACTTGAGACTGTACGCATCTACGAATGTGAATGCAGCTGAAGGAAGTTCCTTCCTGAGTTGAACAATGGCCTCCTTCAACTTGTAATTGTAATGCTGAAGTACCTCATTGAAAGGCTTTGAACAACCGGCGCTGTCGGTTTCGTCCGCGGTGGGCGGGAAAGTTGTCAAGAAAAAGGGAGAGCAGCCGATGGGGTTGGTGTTTTGGACCCAAAATGATCTACCTCCCAACTGGTATATATTCTGAAACATCACAACCTCATCATACAGCAATTCTAATACAACCTCAATTGTGTGTGCGCCTTTTTTTTTTTTTTTGTTGGAATAATAATCTTCCCTCTTAATGTGTGTTTTGAGGAATTATGTTGAAAGTTGGATCAAATAATTAATTTGTTGGCAGAACAGTAACTTTGCTCTATTGTGATGCAACATGTTGTGCAATTGATGCAATGTGTTCATATTACATAATGTTTCATGAGAAAGTATATAATATTTTAGATATATTTTAATAGATATTTTACACGTGGTATCTGAAAAATATCCCCATTTCTTGAATATCGAGACAAATTGTTTCATAATGATGCATTGTACAAAGTATTACGTGTAAGTATCCAAAAGCATTGTATACTTTCTTGTCCTGATTCATCTTTGCATAAAGTAGAATGAATAATCGGATAATATAATACTTTGGACCAATAGGTATTAGACCTTCTAAAAGAGAGTTTATGGTTCAAACCTTTATGAAAGCATGTGCGTGTGAATACCAACTATGAAAAAAAAAAATTCTACGTACTTTAATATTGGTGGACACCCCATTGATTATATATGGAATAGATGCATTCACTTCCTCTATGGTCATGTTAGCAATAAGTCGCTCAGTCAGATCATTATGACCGATACCAATTACATACAAAGCTTTCCCAAAGTACTCCTCCTTGGGCATTAGATCCTTGTATATACCTCCTATAGAACATTCAAAGTTCATATCAATAACATGTATAATAGTACTAAAACAAAAAATGAATTCATCGATCAACTATCAATTAAATTGAAATTAATAGTGGTAATTAATGCAATAATGCAAAATTAATTTACCAGTTTTCCTAATAATTTGTGATCTGTATTTGAACTGCTCGAACTGTCCAACCTGTACATTTAAGTAAAAGGGGCTGTATCCTCCAGCCGGAATAACGAAATCATTAGACAATGGAATTGTGGCTGTGGCAGCTGCAGAGGCAAAATTTGCTCCATGTGTGAAGTTGGATCCCAAAGAATTGAGGTAGGCATTCAGAAAAGGAAGACCTAAATGTGAAGCTGCAATTGAACAATTTTAGGATCAGCAAATGGCGGAATAAAAGACGAGGGAATCAGGATTCTAGCATTTAACTCAATGACGGGAGTTTCATGCACTAAATTTGTTTGGGTTTAAAAATAAAATAAAATAATACTAATAGTAAAATATAGGAATATAGACCTAAGCTAGGCTAAAAGTGAAGGTCCTGATGCATACCAACGAAATCGATCAAAAGCCGTCCGTCACAGTACCTTCCTGTTGGCCTGTGAAAGAAGGTTTCTCCATAAGGTGGAGGGGTCCAATTAAAGACTGCTGCCAGTGCACCGGTGTCGGAATTCGACTCGCCAAAGTTGAAAATGGCCGGAAAATCACAACTTTCCTTAGCAGAAACAGGGTTGAGGACAGTGGCATAACAAAGAAGCATGCAAAAACAAGAGAGAGTAAAGGCAGGTTTGATCATCTTTAGACACTCCATGGTCTGGAAGAGAACAGAAAATACAAGAATGATGTACAATGAAGCCAGAGAGGGTTTGTTCTGTTTATATAGTGTGACAAAGGTAAGTCTTTTAAGTTACGTCTTTAAGAAATTTTATGTTTATCCAAAATATTCTAATATTTCAAAAACATAATAATCATATGAATATGTAACAAAATTCTTGACCAGAAAAACAAGACAAAACAACAGCAGAGACTGCAAAAATACAAAATGTGTTTGTGTTTTTCCACACGTGCTTGTAGAAATACGTAGGCAAAAGATTCAAGAGATTTCCAGTGGTTCTATTGTCATGATCTACCGTACAATGAATGGGGGTGGGTTGCGTGTATAAGGTTCTAAGGGCAATCAGAGTCAACAACAGTCGTATGAATGCTTGCATGACACAAATACTTTTCAAATCATCATGGTTGATTCTTTTACGTAAATAAAATGGGGTTATTGGATGATTAAAAAGGATTGTTTTGATTTGATAATTTATAATAGGGCAAATTACAACAACCTCTCCCGAGGTTTGATCTAATTGCAACTAAATATGAAGTTTGTTATTTTTTTTGCACTGTGTTTCCTGAGATTTGTCCAATTTTGCAAAGACCTCCCCTCTGTAAAAAAAAAAATGGTACTTTTTGTCAAAAAATTTGGTTAAAGTGACTAAAATGCCCACTAACTAAGTGTAAAAGGCCTCATTACCCTTATAGTGTCATGAAATAACAAAAAAAAATCATGCATTAGTGGACCAAATTACCCTTATATATATGACATTATGACCCATTATAGTAAGCTTTAGTGCATATATATATATATACACACACACACACACACCTATACACATACACGCACAAAGAGCTCCATCTCTTTATTAACTAGAATAGCTTCGAAAAAGCTTAAGTGAAAATAAAATATTGCATAGATACAGATTGGGTAAGAAATATATATATGTTTATTTATATACACAACCATATGTCAAAACCAACAATCAAATATATATATATATATAAAAACACAAAACCCGGCATGTAACCCAACTATCAAGTATCAACCAATTTACCATTCAAAAAAAAAAAAAAAGTATCAACCAATTTAATATAAATATGTAGATTGTACATTGAAGATGCAGGAAAAATACTCTCTCAATTTGGAAAGGATAATTCTAGACTTCAAATATTTTTCAACTCGTTTTTCCTCTCTCTTCAGTCTATTTATAGACTGTTACAAATATTCTAGAAGCTTCTTAACTAACTTCTTACGTCGGGCTGACCTTCTGGGCTGATCTTGGTTATGGGCCCACTTTCTTTTATCCTAAATTGGGCTCCCAAAGTGATTTTCCAGTCCCAGGCCTGATTAATGAAGACTCGGCTCAGATTGGTTGTTCTTACCCGACCCATTCCTAGCAATCTGGGTAGCGCCTGACCCATGCCATTTTTGTTATCCTCAGCTGCCCCCATAATCTCTCCCTAATTAATTAGGGTGAGATTATCGAAAGGACACAATCATGACATGACGGCTTGAGGCGGTGACGTGGGGAAGTGAACGGTTGGCTCAGAGACCCACGTGTTGAGATCCGCTGCGCCATTATTGCCGTAGTCCCTTGGGCGTTGAATCACCTCCGCTATAAAAACCCAAGCTTCTCACCTTTTACATTTCTTCTATCTTTCTCCCCTCCGTCTTCAAGCATTATCTCCTTCAATTATCTCTGTCAACTACCTGTATTCTCCGACGAGCTTTCCCTGCTTTCTCCGGCGATTTTTCCCTTTGCGATTCTTCGACTTTCGCTTTGTCTCGAGGTACTTTACAAACCCCCCTTTCTAAGGTTAGTTCCCACTCCTTGCTATTTTTTCAAGAACTTTGTTCTTATCTGTTTTTCTATACAAAAAGAAAGTTTAAAATCGAAAATCTTTTCCACCATTGTTATGGCTCCTAACTTAGAGAACCTTCGTTCGAGGAACAACATTCCTAACGACGTCTTCCTTAGGATTTATCCCACAAATCTGGATGAGAGCTTTGGTGAGGGTCTCCTTCCTGGAAGGTTCTCTTCTCTGCTATTCACTTGAATATAGTTAGATTTCCTTTACACTTGTTCTTTTGTTATGTCTTTAACAAATTAGGACTTTCCCCTCTTCAGGTTAACCCTAACTTCCTTAGGGTTATATCGGTCCTCTTGATTTTAAATCGTGATAAGGATCTTGACTTAGATATCATAGATTTTCTCCTTTGCTACCGAATTACAAAAATCAGAACCAACGAAATGTATTGTCACTTTTTTCCCATCAAGAAATGATCTATCTGTACGGACAAGCTCTCCTCTAAAAAGGGTTGGAGAAAAAATCTAATTGGGGTTAGTGAAAATTGGCGAACTCCATTCGCTCGGACTTTCCCTATTCCAACCATTTTTGGAGAGTGCTCTGTCCCCCAATACAAGAAATTTAGGAAACACCCGATCGACTGCCACTATGAAACTTACCTTCCTCATTTCTACACTTTTCTTTGTAACTGCTTTCGTATTCATCATGACGAATTGGTTTACAGCGTTTGCAGGCCAAGCTTGACATTCTGAAGGAGAGAGTTCTGAACAACATCCCCTCTGCCACTGACTTGCTCACCCCTGACAATCTTTCTGACATTTCAACCCTCGGTGTTACCATGAATGCTATTCAGATTCCTTCATTCAGTAGAAGAAGGAGAGCTTCCTCTACAGCTGCCCCTGTGGCTTCCTCATCCACAGCTGTGGCCACCCCGACCGTCCCGGTTACAACTTAGGACGTTGGGAAACCAACCACTGCACCCTGTGCACCTACTTCAGTTAGTTCGGCACACCTCGCCGAGCAACGAACCCTCTGATGTTTCAAATGAAATTTCTCCACCTACCACCCAGAACGCCAATGGAACCTCTCAGAACGTCGAGGGATCCTCTCAAGACCCTGAGGAATCCTCCCCTATCCGAACTTATGTTAAGCTTGGGCAAGAGGCCTCAACCTGATGACAGTTATGATTAGAGCGCTCTCCCTTTGGCCCAAAGGGCTAGGTCTTTCAGGGTAACCATGACTTTTCTTTCCCCTCAAGCAATCATTCCAGAGGGTGAAGCTGCCAAAACCTCTTCCTCTTCTCCAGCAGTAGCTCAATGGCGTCCCTTGCTCAGACATAAGGACGGGTCAGTCGTTGCCTCAACTGACTCTTTGTTCAAAGACCCAGTCACCTCATTTGCTTTTTACAAGGGCATTTGGTCCCCTAAGGACTTATAGGTTCAAAACAAAATGACCTTTAATAAGATGTACCAACGTTTCTCAGCAGCTGCTATTGAGGTAATTCTTCCTCCCTTTCTTTTACATTCTGTTCTAACCTTCCTTTATTTTTCCTATTCTGACTATCTGACACTTGTACTTTCTGAAACACTTGTGTCTTTGTGCAGACTCTATTTGGGATGTTCACATTCCAGAAGAGCATTGAGCATGCCAACAAGAGAATCAAATATCTCTTTGCCGGTCTCAAAAGATCTGTTGACTCAGAAAGGATAACCGAAGCCAAGAACACAGAGCTATTGGTTAAGTTGAATGAGTCAGAGAAGGAGATTGATGCTCTGAGAGCTGAAAGGGACACTCTAAAGGCCGAGTGGGACTCTCTCTATGATGAGGTTGACGTTTTTAAGATAGAGAAGAATGTTGCACAGACAGAAAGGGATGTTCTGAAGGCTGAGTATCTCATCCTTGGTTCCATATTCCCCAGTTACCTGCTGAATGATCAGCTATGAATCGCTGAAAGCAACTAAACTTTTGACCTTCAGTTTTTTAGCTAGCTTTAGTCCAGCCAGCAATGCTTCGTATTCTGCCTCATTGTTGGTTGCTTTGAACTCAAGTCTGATCGCTTGGCTCAGTGTGGTACCTTCTTATGTCTACAGTTTGATCCTAATTCCTGCCCCCATTTGATTGGAAGAGCCATCAACGAAAAGCTTCCATTAAGAATCTCCCAGATCGTCCTCTACGTCCCCTCCTATGTCACATTCTAGCAGAAAATCAGCCACCGTTTATCCTTTGATGGCCGTTCTGGGTTCATACTCTATGTCAAATGAGCTCAACTCTATGGCCCACTTCGTCATTCTTCCCGACAGATCTGGCTTATGCAGGATCATTCTTAAAGGAAAAGTGATCAGAACGACTATAGGATGTGATTCAAAATAGTGCCTGAGTTTCCTCTTTGCATTCACCAATGATACTTCGAATACCTTCTTTCTGGCTTGGTCATTGTCTTGCTAACATAGAACATCGAGAACTGTTTACCCTCTTCACACCGTACTAGAACGGCACTTATTGTAATGCTGGACACCCCAAGGTACATGAAAAGCTTTTCACCTGGTTTTGGGGCAGCCAAGACTGGAGGGTTCCGCATATACTTCTTCAATCTGGTCAGCGCCTGCCTTTGCTCATCCCCCTAAGACTGCCTTCCATGTCTTCTTATTGTATCGAAGAATGGTTTACAACGGTCTGACAACCTAGAAATGAATCGACTCAGTGCCGCTATTCGTCCGATGAGAGCTTACACTTCTTTGACTGTACTTGGCTCTGCATTTTTGAGCAGAGGTTTCGGTTGGGCTGGGCTGACTTCAATCCCTCTGTGGTTGACCACGTGCCTAGGAACTGCCTAGAGCCTACATCGAATGAACACTTGGTCGAGTTCAGCTTCATACCGTACCTCCTCAACACTCTGAACATATCTTGCAAGCGTTGCAAATGATGGTCCTTCTTTCTACTTTTTACCATTATGTCATCAATATAAGCCTCCACAGTCTTACCCATCTGACTTTTGAAAATCTTGCTGAACAGCCTTTGGTAAGTGGCTCCGGCATTCTTCAAATCGAACGACAAGACCTCATAGCAGTAGATCCCTCATTCAGTAACAAAAAAAGTCTTTTCCTCATCATTCGGATCCATAGGGATTTGATTGTAGCCTAAGTAAGTATCCAGAAAGGTTAGCCGTTCATACCCAGTTGTGGCATCCACCATTTGATCAATCTTTGGCAATGGAAAGCTA